CTGGAGAGGTGAGTGCAGGGCGTGGGCTTGGGGGACGGGAGGGGGCAGGCTCTGCTGGCAAGGGGACGCCTGCCCACACCAGCCCCTGCCCCCCCAACATCTCTTTCCAAGCACATGCTACAAATACTGCCCGGAGGTGTCGGCGTGATGCCTGGGCGTGCAGCACAGTCCTGCACGCGTGTGCTTTTTCACTCCTAGGTGGTGCTGCAGGAGTGCTGTGATCCAGCGAGGTGAAGTTGCACCTGCACCGTGCTCCTGCCCCAGGTGTAGGCATGGGTAGGGTGGGCTGCAGAGAGGAGGGCTGTGCTTTTTTCCCCCGAGCCCCACCACCCCACCTGGGACAAACCCTGCAGGTTCCAGTCACAAGCTGCCTAGGATCACCAGGCAGCCTTTGCCTAGCAGCTGCGATGGGCCCATATGCTCTCCCCTTCTCTCCCCAAGCTGCAGGACCCTTTCTGGCAGACTGAAGGCTCCATCGGTCTTTTACATGCAGTGATGGGGGCGGACAGAGATGCTGGGTCCTGGTGGCTCTGCTGCAGAGCAGGCAGGGTCAGCTTGCCGTGTCTGTGCTCAGGCAGGCCAAGGAATGGAAGATGAAGAATCCTTTTGTTGTGAGCCTCTGTTGTTTCCCTGAGTAAATAAACTCTTTGATTTTCACACTGCCTGCTGTAAGTGGCTCCCCAGGGTGGATGCCTGCTAGGAGCTGGGCCCACTGACGGAAGGACAGTGCAGCCGGTACGTAAGCCCATCTCCATGCTCGCCCCCCGCCCCCCACCAGGCACAAGGATGTAGACACACGGTCCCTGTCTGACAGGCACCTGTCAGGGTGGAGGACGCATGTTTAGCATAGCTAGGCTGAGGCTGCGAGACACTTGTACAGGGTTACGGTCCTGTGCCCCAGGAGCTACATGTGTTCCTGGGCTCAGCATCCCCTGACCAACAGGAGCACAGCAGGGTTGAGAGACATGTTTATTGGGGCTGGACGTGGAGGGTGCTGAAGAACAGGACTGAAAGCTGCCAGGGTCCAGCTCACTGGAAAGAGAAGCTCGTGCTCGGGAGCCCCCCACACCACTGGCTGAGGAACTTGAGCACATCTTGGCAGGCAGGGCTGTGGGATGTCTGCAGAATGAAAGAGGCCTTGGCATTGGCAAGGGGGCAGTGCCTTCACCCCCGCCCAAGGGCACCCCTGGGGGCTGACAGAGCTGCGCAGGCAGGGCCGGGTCTGCCCCAGCTCTGTAAGTGAGGTTAATCCCTACCCAGCAGCACATAGGGAGGGTGCATTAAAACCACCCTGGTTCATTATATCTCCACCCAGCAGGACAATGTTTTATCGTCAGCATCAGGGGTTGAACACCCTGCAGCGTGTTTCCCTGCCCCACCGGGTGGCTGGCTCACCTTGACAGCCATCAGGAACTTGTTCCATGTGTCCTTGTCGGCTTCTCGGCCTGGCCGCTTGAACTCGATCTTGTTTCTTAGCACAGGGTACCCTGGTCACACAGTCACACCTTCAGAAACAAGCCGAGACCCACAGCAGACCCCTACCTTGTGCACCCCTTCCCTCCCTGCTGTGGCCAGCTGGGGCTAGGGCTGCTCCCATGGGGCAACACAGGGGAACAATGCCACCTCTAGCTTTTAGAGACCAGAATGAGGAAGGGGGTGCCCACAGTGGCAGGATCAAAGGAAGATGAAGGCTGAGCTGCCCTGTGGCAAGGACACCCAAGTGAGTATGTCAAATGATAGCACCCTGCTCCTGACCTTTGGAGCCCATCCCTGCTTGTCTGACCAACTCTTTAAGTCCTGCACCGCAGCCCCTCACTGTCTGACGTGTGCAACTGGGGGGCAACAGTACTTGCCCAAATAGACAGCTTTTGTAGCACGGGGCAAAGCAAGGACAGGCGCGGCATGTGCATGTGTCTGTGCTGGCCAGTGTCCTAGGCAGTGCTGTGTGACTCTGAGCAGTCACAGACTCGTAGAAATATAGGATGGTTGAGGTTGGAAGGGATGTCTAGGGGGCCACATGGTCCAACCCCCTACTCAAGCAGGGCCATGCACAGCCGGTTCCCCAGGACTGTGTTCAGAGAGTTTTTGACTATCTCCAAGTACGGTGATGCCACAACCTCTGTGCAACCTGTTGCAATGCTCAGTTACCCTCACAGTAAAAAACCAAAAAGGGTCCTTCCTCCAGCAGAGCTGGTCCCCAAAGCCACAGAGTCTCTCTCTAGTCCTCTTACAGCCTGAACTCCTTCCCAGGCCCCTCCCTGCAACGTTCCCATGCTCTTCATGGCACCATGTACTTGCATATGTGTGAGCTGGCCTGGAGCTTACCTGTAAGCACACAGGGCAGAGAGCGCACCCCTGTATTTGCTGCCACCAGCGAGGCTTCATAAGTGTCACGCTCATCCTGCGGCAGCACCTGCTCCAGCCGCTGGTCCATGGACATGGTGAGCACCCAGTCCCTGACCTCCTCCCGCTTCTCCTCCTGCAGGGCAGAGGCCAGTGCACCTCCTGGTACTGCATGCTGTGCCACTGCCCAGCTGCTGCTCTGCAGCACTAGGGAGCACGACACGAGTGTGCATGCAGGACATGCACACACACATATGCGTATCGGGGGGGGGGGATGTGTGTGAGTGCGTGTATATGGGGAGTGGGGAGCACGAGAAAGAGAGTGTGCGTGTGTGTGTGTGTGTGTAGGGGGGCAGTGCTGAGTACAGGTCCATCTCCTGTAGTGCCTGCCATCCCACCCTTGCCCCAGTCCCTGTTCAGAGAGGGCCCTGAGGCAGCATCACTGCTCGTGGGAGCTGAAGAAGGCAGATGACAGATGACACTCACAGGTACGTGCTGTTGGGCTGGGAGTGGCACTTCAAAGGGAATGTCCGTGCTCTGGAAATCAGAGTGGTCCAGAGAATCCAGGTTCCCTTCTTCAATGGCCTGAGAAAGGAGAAGTGGGAGAGCACTATGCAACGCCATCGGAGTTCACAGTACAAGCTACATTGTGAGGATGGCATTACTGATGTCCCTATCTATTACTGCTGTGGTGACAGGGCCTCCTGGGAGGTGGCATTTATGGCCGGCCTCTGCAGCATCAGAGGCTGTGTGCACCTGAAACACCGTACTA